CCTGGAGTAGACGAATTCAGAACGGAATCTATCTTTAGGGTGGCAGTTGCCTTCGAGAAGTTTGCTCTTAGCTATGGCAAGTACCATCTTAGTGGAACGCGACGCTCAGTAAGGATCGATCTCCGAAATATGTGTGAGTATGACCAGAAAGAGGGACTGAATAACGGAATAACGGACCAGTCAACTAAGTGACTGAATGGCTGAGACAGACTGACCTTCATTCTGACTTTCAGGGAGATTGAATGATTAACTGATTTATTGACGGACAATGCAACTTGACTGAATTAATTTAGTTTGTTACTTTTATAATTCTGAATATCAATGTTATATTTACATTGAATATTTCCCTTTCTTTTGTAAGTCCTCGCTATTCAAAATGGTTACAGACAAAATGCAAGTGACTTCTATCTAGAGGAGCAAGAATGGCAAGCCTCTATCAATATTTCCTCAAGAAATTTTCGAGACAATGGTTTGTATACACCGCAGCTATCTTCCAACATTTAATACTCCTAGGTTCTTTGACTCGTCAGTATCTTATTGAAATGCAACTTGAAACACGATAAACAACTCATGGCAACTTTATACCATCTTCGATAGAACGCAATCATTTTAAATTTGAGTTAACTGACTTCTAAGCTAAATGGTGTTTGCTTTGCTCCCTTTTAGGATCAGTGATAGTAGGATGTGTGTACAAGGATCTACATGATTTACTCCAAGCAAAGTCTGACAAAATATGGTACGTGAACGGCTTAAATATCTAACATTATATAGCTGCTGGTGCATTTGAGAATATTCAAGGATTCATTCGGTTTTTTTACCCAGTCAGAGACTAGTTTTATCTATCCGATCAATAAAAGGACGTTTAGTCTTGAATAATATACCCTCCGTCCGTCTTATTAAAAAGCCCATCGATGAAAAATTTAAATAGGGGAACGTGCAGTGATAAGTAGACCCCACCATAAAAAGTACATTTAGCCTTACAGATCATGTTTCCTGTCCCGCTGAGATGGACAAGCAAGAGTGAGCGAAGTAAGGAAAACGATTAGTATTACTGCTTATTACTTGAACGTCAAACTTGAGGTAAAAAGAACCATTACAGGCGTTATGACTTTAGCGAAGTTTCAGAATCCCTGTTAGAGCTTCGCCGAGTTTGTATATGTCTAGAATATTTTAGAAATCTTAATTCGGAAACTGACATTTATGCTACTAGCTCGTCATTGCCCACGCAATGAATAGAAAAGTGACCGTTGTTTTTTACCTTTTGATTGATGTCTCATATAGAATAATTTGATTATTTAGCCACGTGCAAACTAGGATTATCATGGCAGCTATTGATCCCAAACCTGTAAAGCTACAAGAAAATGTAATTTTGACGTTCAAGAACCTGAAGGTATTAACGAAAGCAAAGTTATATTCAGTCGGTTCAGTTTAGATCAGTTTCAATTTCAATGAGTTTAGGTTTAGTTGATGAATCATTTAATAAAAAAGAGATTAAACTTGAATCAACTTTCAGAATGATCCAAGAGAGAAGCATTGCACATTCTGGAGTGGCCTCAGCGAAAGGTAAAATAGGAAAACAA